CCTCACCAATAACACGGGAGCAGAACCAGTACCCAATTCCCAAGCTCGCTATGAAGATCAAGTTGAAGAATATAAATATAAAACACGCAGAAAGAACCCATAACGAGCACTCACAAGTGTTCTCTGCACACCATCATCCTTACTGAGGGCACAGTTTAGGTATAAAGAATGCATACAAAGCTTAATCAAGGTTATGCTGTTTAGAACTAGGAGAGGGCGAGTCCTCTCTCTGAAGTTCTCCCCTAAGACGGATGGGACCTAACAGACCTAATCCCTGGGGGTTACAATAGGCGCTCAAGGAGAGTGTACATTGTATTAGATAAGAAAGGCTGGAAGTGAGAGGGCGCTTGAGGCCATAAGGGTGGAGCCATGGGAGGGAGAGAGACCAAGTTCCCCACTAACACCACCCAGAGGGCATATGCTGTCCCCTGGGTACAGACTGCGGCCCGTTAGTAGCACCCTCAAAAGAACATACCAGAAAGAGGGAGGAGATTTTATTCTCTATTTCAGATAACAGAATACAGTTAAAAGGGCTGAAGTAGAGAGAAGAGAGGCAGAACTCTCACACCTTCATAAAATTGGGAGGGCTGTTCCTGGGGCAGGGCCCAGATCCGAGGTTGCAGGGCAAAGTCAAGCTCGTGATTACCTTTCAGTTCCTCCCTGATTCAGAGACTCCAAGATTCTGGGCATGGCAGAAAGGGCACCAAAGAAAAAAAAGAAACTCTGAAAATTAAACCACCCAAGCAGCCAACTCAAAAAGCTTGAAAAAGATCACAACAAACCTAAAGAAAACAGGTGATTTTCTAGGAAATCATATAAATACTAAAAAATGATTCAATGAAAAGGAGAAAACCTCATTATAACCACATCAGAAGCACGTTTAAAAAAAAGGAAACTATAAGTACTCTAATCTGTGAGCGTAAATGGAAAAACACTAAATACCAAAGAAGTGAAGCCAGTAGCTTAAAAAGAAGTATACATACAACATGAGCAGCTTATCACAGGGGCTCCAGGGCGTTTACCATTAGAAGATACACTGACGGAATTTGCTACATTAACAGCATAAAGGAGGAAGAACCATATGATCATCGATCGCTGCCCACAGATGGATTTGACAACTTTTAACCACCATTCCCAATTAAAAAAAAAAAAAAAATCCAACTAATTTAGGAATAGAAAGTTCCTTAACCAAATGCCTTGAATGAACACATAATCAAACCTAGAACAAACATCCCTGGTAACAAAACATTTTATTAACTGCCTATCCCTATTAAGTTAGAAATAAGCCCTCATAGAGGGGAATGTGATGGTGTCTTTCAAAATTATATGTACATTCGCCCGTTGATCTAGCAGTCCTATTCCTAAGAAAATACTCCAGAGACAAGCTGGCAAAATATAAAAGGATGTGTGAACAAGGCAATTTACTATACCACTGTCTGTAAGAGCAGAGACTAGAAACCACAGCAAGAAACTGTTAACAAACTACCAAACTACCTACCTATAGCTGGTTTAAAAAGACAATGAGAAAAATCTCTCTGTCATTCTAATGAGTAATCTCCAGAATATATTACTAATGGGAAAAAAGCAAGGAACTTATATGATGCGCCTCCTTAAAAAAAACTGGAGGAAATATAAATGCATTGGTGTATAGCATTATATATTCAGAAAAGAGCACTTAAAGGATATGCCATAGGCTGACATGACCTTTGGGGGAAGGGAGAGAGCAGGGATGAAAGATAAGGATAGAAGTAAACCTCTGAACTTCCTTGTTTTATAGTTTCAACTATAAACCATGTAAATGTGGGATGTAAATTTTTTAATGTAAAAATAGAAGCATAGCAATCCTGAAAAATAAAGAATCACCTGAAAAAAATCATTTTGATTTTATGTCATAGTGGCATTACAGCCACACAGAGAATAATTATTTTAGGAGATTGAACCCTCTGGCATGATGTAACTTAAATCCATAAAGAACCATAAAAAAAATCTTAATTAAAAGAACATTCAGGGGCGCCTGGGTGGCGCAGTCGGTTAAGCGTCCGACTTCAGCCAGGTCACGATCTCGCGCTCCGTGAGTTCGACCCCCGCGTCAGGCTCTGGGCTGATGGCTCGGAGCCTGGAGCCTGTTTCCGATTCTGTGTCTCCCTCTCTCTCTGCCCCTCCCCCGTTCATGCTCTGTCTCTCTCTGTCCCAAAAATAAATAAACGTTGAAAAAAAAAATTTTTTTTTTAATAAAAAAAATAAAAAATAAAAAAAATAAAAGAACATTCAATGGGTTCACTACTAGTAACAATATCGTTATTTTTAAATTATTATATATTTTGATGTTGTTTGCAACAAAGACTTTTGGTGTGAGAAAAGAGATACAAGTATAATCAAAGAAGCTAATTAAAAACCTTAAAATATTTCATTTAAACATATCCATGATATGCTTCTTCACATTACAAAAATCTGCAAACTTCTTAGCCCTGCCTGCTGAAAACCCTAAAAGGAATAAAAACCCGAGAGCAAGGTGCATCTCCAGGATCCAGATTTTGGCTTCTAAATACCATAGTGTGGTGGGAACTAAAAGGAGCCAGAGCTCCTAGGAAAAATGGATAATTCCAGATCTGTGCAACAAATGGGTAAAATGAGCTTGAGGTCTCTTCTCGTGTTAGAACGCAAGCAAGCTACCAGAGATGACCAGAGTCATGTTAAAAGAACACAGAAGAGGATGACTCATGACAGGACAATTTGCACAGCACAATAACTATAAAAGGAATAATGACTGAAAATAGACTACATTTTTCCACCCATGAGTTCACAGTAACACTACCCCCTCCCACAAAAACCTCTAAGTCATCTTTGAAGACTGTTAGAGCATTAATCACTATTCTATAAATAAAGAGAAAGGCTCAAACATGGACCCTGCCTTATCCGTACTAATTGTACTTCAGCTAAGTAAATAGTTGATAAGGGAAAACTCTTCTTTATAGAAGAACTCCAGATAACAGACATAGAAGGAAGAATAGGACTAGGGAAACATTATTTTTGCAATCTCTAATAAGATCATGGATATAGGTATCCACCATTTGGTCAACATTCACGGAGAAATTTGTAATAGAAGGAGCAGGCCAAAAAAAAACTGCTTAACCCACTGGGCCATCTTAACATAGTTAACATTTAGACAAATTTCTTAAAAGACACAAAATACCGAAGCTCACACAAGAAGAAACAGATAACCTAAGTAACCCCTATGTCTATAAGAGAAACTGAAACTGTAGTTAAAAACATTCCCACAAAGAAAACTCCAAGCCTTAATGGCTTCCCGAGTAAATTCCACCAACCATTTAAGGAGGAAATGCTACCAATTCTATGCAAAATCCTCCAAAAAATTCAAGAGGCAGGAGTACTTCTCAACTTATTCTATGAGATCAGGAGTGACTGAGACCAAACCCACACCAAATGTTACACACCAACTGGAAGATACAATGGGAAAGAAGTAACAAAATGAAGTACTAAAGACCTAAATAAAAAATAAGCAAAACTAGTATGAAGAAAATTCTGAAACACCCTAAAAGACATAAAAGTATCTCTGAACAAAACGAAAAACATACCACATTCTTGGATACAACAATTCAACATTAAAGGTTGTCAATTCACCTCAGGTCAATATATAGATGTGACGTATTTCTAATAGAAATGCTAATAAGCATAGAAAAACCTAGATACCCTGGGTCAAAAAGCAAAGACTCAGACTAATGGAGCTGTATCAAAAGCACACAGCAGCCAGCTTGGATTAGATCCCACTGATCAAACGAAGGACAATTTTAGCCTCAAAAAGAATAATGTCTATAATTATCTATAAATTATTAAATAAAGGGGCACCTGGGTGGCTTGGTTGGTTAAGTATCCGACTTTAGCTCAGGTCATGATCCCGTGGTTTGCGGGTTCGAGCGCCACACTGGGCTCTGTGCTGACAGCTCAGAGCCTGGAGCCTGCTTCGGGTTCTGTCTGCCTCTCTCTCTGGTCCTCTCTGGCTCCCACTCTGTCTGTCTGCCTGTCTGTCTCTCTCAAAAATAAACAAACATTTTAAAAAGTTATTTCATACAAAAAAAAATCCACAATGGCACTAAACAACAAAGACAGAAAGAGAGGGAGCACACCCAAAATAATTTCCACCCACAGGAGGTAAAGATCACATCAATTTCTTAATGTGAACATTGGTGGCCAAAAGAGACAGGATTAAAGCATTTACCCTGCCACTCCAGGAGTTCACTAGTTGATGTGGGGAAGTATTTTACAAAACCTCAGCTAATAAACGTGGAAATACTGACATAATTAGAAAATCACCATTTTCTAAACTCTAAAAGAAATTGACGTAGGCAGGGGATTAGTAATGGATGCCAAATCTATTAGATGAAACAATTTGGGGGAACAGGGTATTCAGAAAAGGAGTATAAAATTTCCCCTATGAAATTTATCACCAAAAATGTGAAACGTGAATCCATACAGTTCTTTACACCAAACTTCCTTCTTCCCTTTAACTTGGCTGAGGTCCCCTCCCTTCACTGCCTACTCTAGCCTCTGTCTCAGCGTTGGTAAGCATGATAATCATGGATGCAGTACATGCAGAAGGGTGGTTTCTCTTTATTCTTATCCTGGGCAGGAGATACACTGGCTCTGTGGGCAAGTTTACCAAGTTCCTCGGAGAAAGAAGGGAAGAAGTTTCGGGCAGGGGAAGAGGCAAGGCAGGGCAAAACAGTAAGGGAAGTATCAGCAGAAAAGATGAGTAGAGAATATTCCAGAAGGTAGAGAGATGGTGATGAGGAGCCAGAAGCTAAAGAGACTAGATCCAGGCACGGTATTTCACGAGTCCTAGAATGAGGTATGGGTCTAGGAAGACAGAGAGCCAACAGATAATCAGTTAAGAAACTATTCTTAACTCAGATATAAAAATTGGTCCCCTACTGTCTCTAATCTTTTAACTTAATACTGAAGCAAAAACTCAATTATTTCACCTTTCTTGGTAAAGAGATTGCGAAATGTACCACACAGGTAGAAAATTCCACCGCTGTGCATATCAATATGGAGTTGGTAGCCATGCAGTCCATACTCTGGGTTGTCATCCAAAAGGGGGGTATGAGGAGGTAGCTCGTAGGGGCTAAAAAGCAAAACAAAACATACACACAGGTTTGTCAACACCAGAGACAAAATGCTTGAACTGAAAATACTCTAAAAATTCGGCATCCATTTAAACACCAGTTCCTGTCAATCCTCAAAAAGGTTCCTCCCAGTCATCCTCTACACCAGGAACTCAAAAGAAACACTTTGTGCTCCTTTCACCAACTTCTCTAAAACGTCTCTAAAAATGGGCAAAGGCATGAGTTCCATAGGTACCCATGGGCGGAAGTGTTTCTGGGATCTGCCCAGCGCAGCGGCTCTAGGAGGTGCCCCTGCTCCTCGGCGGTCTCAGTCACTGGAGGACAGAGGTCACCAGAGGACAGAGCTGCTCAGCAGGAAAATGCACCAAAGAACAGACCTACAGGTCAGGAAGTCGGGCAGAAGACCCAATGCTATGACGAACCAAGTTTTATTCAATAAGAAAAACCTTACTACATAAGGTAACAAACTCAAAAGCATTCAGAGCTTTACCTTTTCAGGTAATAAAAAAAAAAAAAAAAAAGAGTCTGAGAGCTGTAGTGAAATGAAAAGCATATTCCCCACCTGAAGAGCTGCAAATTCATGGAGAGACACACACAGTGCCGGGCTAAGCAAACCACAACTGCAGGCCTTGCAAGATACGAAAAGGCACAAGAGTGCCAAGCACAGCGAGCACCTTGATGCACCGGAACCTTGCAGTGATGGACCCATCCTGCCCCCACTCGGCACAAAATCCTTAACCCGGAACAAAGAAAGCAAATATGTACTCACGAATAATCCAGTTATTTTAGCCACAGCTAAGTAATTATGCCCGTTGGCTTGTGTCTACTGATTAAAAACAGAGTATCTTTGTAGCTATTCTCAGGATGTTCAGATGATATCAACTTCTAATCCTTCACATTGTACAAAACGTGAATAGACCCACGTGGAAATACATACACGGTGGCGGAGCCTAACGTGCTCTTCTCCACAAGCTGATGGAAATGAAGATTTGCCGTAACAAAAGCCAGTTCTTCCTCCCTCTGAAAAGTTAATTAGAAAGAAGACATTTTTCAACAGAAATATTTTAATTTTTCACCAGGTCGTTGTGAAGATCGCAGCACATTCATCTTACAGATAGACAGTTTCTTGTAACTGTTAAGATTACCCCAGTACCAACGCATTCTTGCTGCTAATATGTTATTACTATCCAATAAGACTTCTTTGTCAACTGACAGCAGGGCCACAATTCACCCAAACGTGCAGTGCGTGCGGTACCAAAAGGATTAACAACCTAGCACTTGTGAAATATCAAAACACTCTGCCAGGATGATTGTGACAATATACATTGTTAGTTCCAGGTTCTGGAACTACAGAGGGATGATACTGGTAAGACCCTCAAACATACAAGGGTAATGCCACAGATACGTAACATGAGTGGCATTCCATGAGGATACATTCCTCTCTTGAGAACCTGTTGACTTGACAAAGCCAGTGGGAATGAAAACATTCACCCACCAGGCTGAGCAGCAGAAAACGTGACTATAGAGGAACAGACATCCATTTCTCTCCAAGCTCACAGCCGACGCTGACTGGTGTAGTTGCCCCAGAAAGGTCGACCTGAGGCACCACCCAGCAGTAGGCAGCCAGGACAATCGGACGGACCAGGGTCCTTGTAACAATGCAGGCCAGCACAGACTGGTGAATCCCAGTCAAGGAAACAGCCAGCAAGCAAACTGGCACCTAGGCCACAAGTCACCCTCGTGCGGCGAGCACAGGGACAGTGACTGCCTCAGCAGGTTGAGAAAGACAAAGCTACGTCAAGAGAATGATGCCGTTGATCGTGGTTCCATCTAGTCATTGTTTATACACGCGTGCTGTTATCCTCAAAATCACATTTGTGAACTTCTGTCTTACAACACCCACAGGCCAAAGCCACAGATTTCAACACACGTGTGGTATACAGAGAAACATCACACTGGTTTGCTTTTCACTGGAGTGACTGCCCAGAAAATAACTCCAGAGGAATTGGGAAAGGATAGGCAGGTTACACTCAAGGCCACATCTACAGGATCAGAAACACAGGGGAGACTGGGTTAAACACGCAGGATGAGAGACTTGGGCAGACGCAGGCTGGGAAAGAGGAAGGAAGGAGCACGGATTGACTGGAAGGAGAAGGGGTGAGATTTTTCAGGATATGAACGGTCTAATGTGAACAAAAGCATCCAGGCAGGAACAGGGAGCTTGTCATCTACAACAGGAGAACAGAGTCGCCTCCACACAACAAGGGGCCATTTAGTTAGAAAAGCAAAACTGGCAACAGAGAATTAATGCCGTTAGTGAAGAGTCTTCAGGACCTCACATCTGGTGTCACGCACAGCAGTGAGTAAATGTGGAATGGGCAGGGAGGTGGCATCACACAGGCAGGGACCCAAGTCTTACCTTCCACAGCCCCACCAGCAGGCCTGGGCAGAGGCAGAAGATCCGAAGGAGTCTGTCCCCGCCAATCATGGTGGATTCGGTTAAGTTACTCAGATTGTACTTTGCAATTAAAGAATGCCACCGAGGTCTTTGAACATCCATGCCAAAGAAAGGAAGGAGAGAAATGAGCTTTCACACCTGCGGTTATCAATTCTCTTGAGTGTATTTAAAAGTACTTTTGAAGAGCATGCTAATAACATGCACCTTGCTAATGAATGGTGTGTTGAGGGTCAGGGGATGCAAACCATTCATGTAAATAAAAGGAAAATGGATACACCCAAATTTCTCGCCCAACTATGTTTCTTTCCCCTCCTCCTGACTCTTAGTGTCAACTCAATGGCCCAGTCAGAAGTGGAAGAACCATGAGGGTGAGGAACAATCATCTTCTGCTCTCCTCCCCTCAGAGCCCAGCACAATGCTACAGTCAAAAGTAGATTCTCGGGGCACCTGGGTGGCTCAGTTGGTTAAGCGTCCGACTTCTGCTCAGGTCATGATCTCGCGGTCCATGAGTTTGAGCCCTGCGTCGGGCTCTGTGCCGACCGCTCAGAGCCTGCAGCCTGTTTCAGATTCTGTGTCTCCCTCTCTCTCTGACCCTCCCCCGTTCATGCGCTGTCTCTCTCTGTCTCAAAAATAAATAAACGTTAAAAAAAAAATTTTTTAAAAAGTAGATTCTCATATGTATTGTAACTGTATGTATCCCTAGTTAAGGAAACTAAGGCATAAGCAAAGATGAAATATTTTTTAAGTGACAAAAAAGAGCAGGTGGTCTCAGTAGGCTCTTGGAAGCAGATATATATACCTTTTAAAGCTATTATCAAGGATAACTCAGAGAGAGTGAAAATTTTAATATTGGAAAACGAATTTAGTCCAAAACCCTGAGGATTTTCACGGAGGAGATCCACTGTGAACTCTATATTAGAATTACTATCTGAGAGTAAGTAATAACTCAGATGTGTAAGGAAACACAACTCTGCTATTCATCATGAGATTTAAAAAAAAAAAAAACGAATGAAACATTCTAGAAGCACTATAATGGTAAACATAGATGTCCTTTCCAAGGACCTAGAGATAGTTCAGGAAATTATAAAGGAGATGAGATCTTAGTGGTCAATTAGCATAGCTCAGCATTGAGGAAAGTCCCTAAGGAGCTGTGGCCACATGGCATCCAAGCGTTCTCCTCCAGCACCTAAGACACAGGCTGGCAGGAGACAGGTATTCAAATGTTCATTAAGTAAAAGAATCAGAAAACGAAGGACTTCAGCTGTTTCAAAGTGGAGGCATGGGGGTGGGAGGAAGACCTGAAGCTTCCAGACTACCTTGGTTCCTCCCTCAATTTTCAAAGGACTTTTGGCACAGAAAACTACATCGCCTGGGGGATGTGGTCAGTGAACATGCGTGTGACATACGATCTCAAAGTATACTCCACATAGACAGAATACACTGGGAGGAAGCCACACGGTTAGGAACATGAGTATGGCCTCGGGGAAACTGGAGTTGAAACCTTAAAGCCAACCCTAAGGTGCTCAGAAACGGTAGTCCTTGCCACCATGATTCTCAGTGCAGACAGACGAGGTCGGGCGGAGGTGTGAAAACCCTCCTCTTACACTCTTCAATGTGTCCTAAGTAGGGACAGTCGTCGCCATGGCTCAAGAGCCGTTCAAGCAGACTCCACAGAGAGCAGGCTAAGTCCCCACATGCCTTGGCCTCACAGGCTAAAGAGAGAGAAACTAAGGCTGAAACCTACTCAACATTCCTCCCAAATTTGGGGAGGTATAGCATAAACCACAGAACGGAGAACATTTCCAGAACAGAAAATTTAATGAGCTGACTAGAAAGGTATAAATTACAGGGAAATTCAAACTGCAAATTACACAAATAAGGCTTTCACTGTTCTTGAAAAAAATCCTCATGGAGGAAACAAAACAGACCCAAATAACCAAGTTTTTCCTTTGCTGTCACACAGATGCACACGATGATTTGTACTTCTGCATGATAAACGCATTTGCTTTCAAACTTGCAATAAAAGAGCCCATCAAAACAAATTCCTAAAAAACACTTCTAGTGTCTCTTCTCCACAGTTTATCAAATGCTGGCTGAAGTCCACTGAGTTTTAATGGAAATAAATTACATGAAATCAATTTTCCCAATGAATTCTAGCATCTGTCACCGCACAGAATCCAGTATTCCCGACCTGGATGGCAGTTGTCAGGAGCACAGCATCTGTAACCGAGCCTCACTGTTCAACACTACCCACTGCGTCTTCCGTGACCATCTTAATTGACGTTAACAATGTTGTCCTAATGCATATAAACAATACTTCATGATATGCCAAGTAACACGTTGTTCAGTCAAATTAGTACAGAGATTATAGACTGATTCTCCAAACATAACTTCATAGTGCATAAAACCTAAATACTGCATTAGAAAAATCTAGTGTCCATCATGATACCATATGAAATTTCAGAGATTTATCCAAATAGAGGTCCCATTTTAAAAAGTAAACAAGCTTCCAGGGCGCCGGGGTGGCTCAGTCATTTAAGCGTCCAACTTCAGCTCAGGGCATGATCTCGCAGTTTGTGTGTTCGAGCCCCGCGTCAGTCTCTGTGCTGATGGCTCGGAGCCTGGAGCCTGCTTCTGATTCTGTGTCTCCTTCTCAGCCCCTCCCCCACTCACACTCTGTCTCTTTCTCTCTCTCTTAAAAATAAATAAACATAAAAAAATTTTTTTTAAGTAAACATGCTTCTAAAATACCTTCAGTAATATAATCAGGGAAGATAATTCACATGTTATCCTTCGTAGCATTAAGGCTATTTTCAGAATACGATAAAACCTGGCTTCACCAACACTAAGAAGTGAAACGCCCTCACACTCCCAGCATGACAAGCAGAAGCACGATCACTGACACGATCCTCAAAGGACCAGCCCCAGATTGCAGAAGAAAAACAAGGTCCTGGTTACCAAGCTGCAAAAATGAGTCCAGAGTCCAGGGAAGCCATTAAGGAAAGCTGTCCTGCCATGGACGACACCTGCCATCACAAGGACACGGGTAAGAGAAGCCACAGGTAGAGCCACAGCGCAGGGGCTGGCAGGAACAGTGACGTGGTAAATGCACTGCAATGTCCGAGGATGGAGGGCCGTGGAGAGGGCTGCTGAGGGCAGGAAACCAAGCCTGGAGAAGGCAGCTACAACCCATGTTTTCCATGCGTTCGATGTAAAGCTGCGCCTGCTCGCTCGGGAAGTGAAGACACCGCAGCTGGCAGCATCTAGCTCTTAGGAGAAAGTGACTAATGGCAAGAAGAGTGAGCAGGACGGACTTCAAATACACGTGGACGCAGCACAGAGCCCCTCAGGACAGAACATAAGGACACACAAATCTGATGCCCCTTCTGGTCTTCACAGCAGCCACACGTGCTAAATACTCGTCGCCATCGTCATCATCACCCCATTTCACACATGAGAAAACTGAGGCACAGAAAGGCTGAGCCACTTGCACAAGGTCACACATCCGGTCAGTTCAACAGAGAGGCACATAAAAATAACTAAGCAGTACTGTATGTCCTAATGTTTAAACTATGGTTACTGTACCATTTACTAAAAGAAAGATATAATAGTTTTTTTATTTTTTTAATGTTGATTTATATTTGAAAGAGAGAGAGAGAGAGAGAGACAGAGCATGAGTGGGAGAGGAGCAGAGAGAGAGGGAGACACAGAATCCGAAGCAGGTTCCAGGCTCTGAGCTGTCAGCACAGAGCCCGACGCGGGGCTCGAACTCACAGACCACGAGATCATGACCTGAGCCGAAGTTGGACGCTCATCCGACTGAGCCACCCAGGCGCCCCAGATATAATAGTTTTATATACCTTTGATTCAAAATGGTTAAAACTAAAAAGCTCAAAAGGTTAGCTATCAATCACCTAGGAATTCTGTTAACTAGAACATTATTCTCTTTGTTAACTAGAATATTATTCTCTGTTACAGACAACCAAGATATGAGGCACTTAAATTTAGATCGAATCATAAATGTGATGAATCCATTCTTTTTCTCTTCTATAGTGATCCAGAATGCAAGAGAAGTCTTGAAGATGCAATCAAATTAAAATACACTGGTGGTATCTTTAAACTGCAAGAATAGTAACAACTGAGACAGCCGGGTGCCTCAGATGGTTGGGCATCTGACTCTTGATTTCAGCTCAGGTCATAATGTCACAATTCATGAGTCGGAGACTAGCAGTGAGCTCTGTGGTGACAGCACAGAGCCTGCTTGGGATTGTCCCTCCCTCTCGGCCCCAGTCTGCCCCTCCTACACATGCACACGTGCTCTAATGAATAAACATTTTTTTTTAAAAGAATAATAACAACTAGTATTTACATATAAGATGTTCTCACCCAAAGCTTCTGTAGAATTAATACTTACCCATTTTTGGAGGGAGTTTTAGACTGGTCCATAAAAACTGGCGTCACACCACACAAATCTAGGGTTGACAATGTGGCCAGCCGGGGCCAAGTTTTGCCATACCACATAATCGTCACTGATGAGTCATTTATGGAAAGGTCAATGTGCTCCATGATGTATTCTTTTCCATTTTTTTCTCTCAATATAATTACCCAACCTAAACCAGATATTCTGGAGAAAGAAAAGCTAACAATGTTGGCCTCATTGCAGAAATAAAAAATGCTAAAGTCAATTTCATGTATCATCTCTAAAGTATCTAGTTCCTGAAAAGCCAAAGCCAAAGTCCTCAGAAAGTGCCTGACATAAATTTTCATTCCGTCAATGGTCCTCTCTTTAGACTTTTTCTCCTCACCTAACAAACACTCATTGAACATTTACTGTGTTCTCGGAACTGGCAATACATACATGAGACAAAGTTCTTCCCCGAAGGAAGGACGCATTGGATGCTCTTGCTTTACTGCAGCAGATGACTAGGTGATTTCTGCTTTTCATGAACACATCAGACCGTTTATGTGAAATAGGAAAACACTATATAACTTATGGATGCACAGAAACACAGGAAAATACCAAGAGACAGTCCCCTCACGGTATAAACTGCACGTATGTCCTTAAATGTGCAATACTCTGAGCTCACACCATCACTGTTTCTAAAGCAACACGCGTGCAGATGTTAACAGCACCCTCGAGCACCCAGCGTGCCCATAGCTCGGGAGGAAGCTGTGTACCTGACAGCCTCCTTGGTCTTCACCGGCAGGCCCGTGTAAGGGTTCACAGGCTTGAGCACCTGGGCGAGCGCCGCTCTCACACGTGCTCTCTGCTTTGCAATATACTCTTTCTTCCAGTACCCAGCTTCTTTATCCTTAACCGACAGCACATTCACAGATCCAGTGGTCTTCTCCACTGAATTAACTTTCCAATTAGATCTTTTAGGTGAAAAGGCCGCTGAATAGATCCTGATCCAAAGAAAACTGGGGGAGAAGAGGAACATTGTTAACTAAAAGACACAGTCATGTGCCTGCAGAAGTGACACGTTAAATCAGAGATGCACAATCGTTTGTAACTAGTCCGATTCCATGAACAAAGCAAACTGAACACTGACAGTCATTCACGTGTTAGAGTGAACCGTGGTTTGAGGGGAGTGTCCCAGATCCACTGACCCCAGAAATCTGTACGAAAAGGAAAAGCTTGTTGCCCCCGGTCAAGTTAAAATGAGTGACCTCCTGTCATTTGACATCATCCAAACCACTGTCTTCCTACAGTAATCACTGAATAAGGGATTACAGAAAAATAAAAAGTGACTCCTATTGTGTTATTTTAAATACGTACACTTCTTAAAAGGCTGGAAAGGAAGTATATGTACATACACACACAGAGAAATGCCAACAGCAACGGAACTGTATGTTCCTTTTCCACATTTTAATTTTTCTACAATGAACATGCAACGTTTGCACAAAGAGAATAAAATGAAAAAATTCCCTGCATAATGCAAAAAATGAAGAAAACCAGTTAATATTGTTTGTGCAGTGTTAAGCATCACTGGAGCACTTCGTAAACATTAACTACTTTAATCGTCAACAAAGCCATGAAGTAGCTACCATTATGGTCCCCCCCCTCGGCAGATAATGTCATGAGGCCCAGTGGGAAGTGATCTGGCCCGGGCCAGCCTGTATGTGCCGAGGAGACGGAGACCCAGGGTTGCACCAACACAGCCTCGACCAGAGCTCACGCACTCACGCCCTGTGCTTCCCGGCCTCAGTCATAGAGAAATGAACTCGAGGAAACCAAGTAATTTATCCAAATTCGAGAGCCAATCAGCCACAAGGCTGAATTCAAATTCAGCCCTGACCCACAGCCTGTGTCCCTCCCGCTCATCACACCCAGACGAGACGTCACAGGAGCAGTGGCGGTTAGCAGGGGCCAAAGTGAGCCTAAGGCACCTCTCTCGGTGCTCTCCTTCAGGGGAAGAAACAAACTTCTCTTAGGGGAAACTGAGACAGGGGCTCAAATCAATTTCCTACTATAAAAGGTGAGCTGTACATAAGTAAGTGTAATTACTTGCTAATTCATGTCTCCACATTTCTATTTAGTGCAGTGGGAGGGAATGGCCAATGGCCAAGAGGCAGCTGGGAGAAGGCAATGCCCCTGCAGAGGAGGTCCAGACGAGATGCCAGGGCACTCTGGAGGTTCCTAAGTGCTCGGGTTACCCACCAGTAACCACAGCGGCAAGGGGCACAGACGTGTCCCCTTGATCCAGGTCGGACGTGGACTTTCCATCAAACTCATTTTCTATCAAATGCATAATCAGATCCCTACTGACATCACTCTCTAGTATGCATTTTCAAATCATTTCTCACCCCACAAAATCATTTCACACCAAGCTTTCTGCCTTAAGGTATTTCTCAGTTCGGAAATTTCTGAGTTTTCGTACGTGAGCTAAGAGTTGCAAAATGACGATCCTTTGAGTACATCTTAGGTAAATCTGAAACCATTTTGCCAAAATCCCTTGCGTAGGCAATTTTTAAAACTCCCTTTACATAAAAACTTGTTCATATTTTCTTCAAAATTTATTTTACTCATCATTTTACTCCACATAAGTGTTCCCAAATCTCTCACATCAGCACCACATGAACTGCAGCTGACTCTATTCTTGTCTGTGGGCCCGCACTCGCCAACTACAAAACACGGTGCCTGGAGAGGACACAGAGCGGGAAACCCACACACCTTCAGGTACAGCTACACCTGACATCTGTGCGAAGAGCCACTTACACACCATTATCTTACTGCAGTTACCGTAGCGAAGTCCAAAAAGAACATCCCATAGAATTAAAATACTGTGGAGACTGTTCTGCTTATTCATCTATAAAAGCAGAAATGTCAGGCCTAAGACGCTTTTAACAAGTACTCAAAATCCAGACACATTCATTTCTTGATCACCCAATGCCCCGTCCTGTTAAAAAAAAAAAAAAAAGAAAGAAAGAAAGAAACTAAGGTGGATTTGAGGACAAGAGCATATTTAGCTATTCTGACTACCAGTCAGGCACAGAACAACTTCAATCAGACAAGTTGTTGACAAAATGGGGCCAATTTAACGTTCTGATAAAGTGTTTTGCAGAGTGCTGGAAAATAAAAGCCCCACGTGATGATCCCAATCCAGCCTGGACAAGTTTCCCCCTTACCCCCACGCAGGCAGAGCCTGGAGCTCAGGTTGAGGGAGGCAATACCCACAGGGAGGGGGCAACCTCCCCCCATGTAAGGGGGGCATCAGGGAGACCCCAAGCCTCCAAACAGGTCTCGCCATAAGTCATCAGTGTAACTGGCTACTGTAGGCACTCCTGCCCTCTCCAGAAGTAACGCTTAGAAAATACCATTCACTGTTGACAAACGCTTGTTTACCAGTTCAATCGTCAACATGCCCTTTTTGAAGTCTCACTATAAAATCAGACTATGACTCTTAAAAATAAAATTCAATGTACACAATTAAGGTACTTCCTTTAAAAAGAAAACAAACATGAGGATAATTCCTTCAGAAGCCCAGATTTTTAAAGGACAACCCCCAAGAAAGTGGGGCAGGCATGTAATTAATAACAAAAGTATGCAAGGAATATTACTAGAGGTGTGGCCCAAATCCACTGGAACGCCCAGAGCCTGTACCTTCTGGGCCTATGAAGTTCAGTGGGAAAAGGGGATATTTAGAGATACTAAGCAATTTGTAATTGATCACCTTATCCAAGCGATTGAAGTTCTATCCTTAAATAAAGTAAGAACCCTCCAAAAAGCTACAGTTTGGGATACTTGATCTCTCTCATGAAAAATGCCTTACTGCACTCTGCTTTGGTGAAATGTCTTCACCTCTTATAAAGAGGCATTAAGAAAGAGACACAAAAATCACTCTATGTCCATTCTAGAACTACTGTCAAAAACATGCTTATTTGCCTTGAACCCACTTGTGTGAGTATGGACACAGACAGAGAGATTCTTCCACAGAGGAGACAACAGCTACCCCAATAGCAAGTTTGATCACTTTCAGTTCATGCAAAGACACTCTTTTTTTTAAGCAAATAAATGCAAATCTCATTTATCATTTATCAAATATCATTTGACCACTTACAGTATTAGACATGTTCCATCTATGTCTAAACACACTTTTGAAATTACTTTAAATTTCAAAAAATGGTTAAAAAGGTCTTACTAGTTTTCATGACTTCCATCAACACACCATCAAAAGATGATAGAGAGATTTGGTTTTCTCCTTACTTGTCATTGGCCAGATGATAAAAGCGCCTATTCACACATCCCGTACACAGCAGGGTCACAGCATCCAAGTTGCAAAAGATCTTCAGCAACACTTCTGAAGGCATGCTGAGAGAGGGAAGGAGATCGGAGAGGTGGGCAAACACATAAGCTAGAAGTTACCCACAAAACTGGCTGTTCATCTCCAGACAGAAGGTGACTGGCACCTGTCCCGTACAAGAGGCTAACTGCACCCCTACCTTCCCGTTTTCTCAACTGAAATGTTCTGGCTACCACAGTCCTCGTGACATAAACGAATCCAGAGACCCAAGGGTACAGGAACCTAACTTCCTTGGCATGTTAACCATATTCACACGCTGTGAATCAACACGCAGGTTTCCCTACCTCCCTCGTGAAAGTAAGCATCATCCCTTGGTGAGATAGAAGGAAACAAGAGAAAAAGAATGCATTCTTAGCTATTAAGAAGAAATAACACAGAATCCTCCCCCTCAAAGAAGAGACTGGAATAGGAAATACCAGCTTCTTTTCTACCTAGCCCATACCACCCTCACCCACCCTCTTCCTTCATATCCTCATGCTCCAGACCTTCCTCCGGGGCTTTCCAGAGAGTTCAAGCCCCATAAGATTTTCTGAATTCTCTCTTCCTTTTTTTCTCATTTATTGCCTAAATAAATTACATTGAGGTGCATTCTCAATATCCCATTCTCAATATTTCTATGATCTTACACTGTTACAAAACACTGAGAGAACCAGAAATTATCTAGAAAGCCTTACCGATATTACGAAGTCAGGAATGGGCACGTATGGACCTCAGGCAGAAAAAACAACAACAAAAACAAAAAGAAAGCTAGCGAACACTGTTGGGGTGAGGGGTGGGGACCTCAGGATAAAGAACTGAGGCAGTAAACCCTTTGGCCAATTTAGAATGGCTGCCCATACTCTGCACTTGTCATCTTAACTATTTTAAATTTTTAGATTGTGATGAAAATCGTTATCAAATGTTTCATAGGGAAATAATCAGTCCTAAAATCCTGATAATACTGAGAATGGATGGGGGGGGGGGGGTTCCTCAGAGGCAAGAGGACAGGCACGAGACATAACTGGCCCGTGTCACTAACCAGAGCTATCCCTACTCAGAAGCTTCAGAGACTCCCTGAGAGTTTAAGCAAGCAGTTTTGCTCAGGGGTTCATTAAATCCCTCCCCCCAAATGAAACTCCTTCTATTCAGAGTCAATAAATTAGACACTTTTAGCGACCAAAAGTCGCTAACGCTAGAGAGGGCAAAGCTGCAGGAAAACACGTTTTGTGACCATCTGGGTTACCCACTGCACAGAGTTTTCACATTTTGACTCAGTGATTTCACAAAAATTCATGGTTATTATTTTTTAAATAATTATAATTCAAAGAATGTAGATTTGGGCTTAAAGAAAACATCTCAGAGAGGCACCCAGCAAATCTTATCCAGGAAAAATTATTTAACTGAACTAAAACCCTACCTCACTCTCCTACCCGGCAGACAAACTTAATGAAGGGGTGCTCTCCCCGTACCTTCCAGAAAGCAGAAAACCTCCACTTTACAGCTAGCACAGTTGGGATCAAAGCCATTCTCAATTATTGTTCATAAGGTTTCCTCAAAGCTGGTACAGTCACTGTCCATGCCCATACTGGGTTCACTTTCTGCTGGATTCTAATCATTTCACACTGCAGGGGCAGAGGTGCGGGGGGATGGGGAAGGAGACGAGGAAGGTGAGCGGAAAAGAAGCTCAAAGTGTCAGAGGACAGTATCTGGTACTGAGAAGGTCCTCAAATATTTGATGGATGCATGAACCCAATAAATATTTGTTCTGTTTCCGTATCAGATTATTGTATGACAGACTGTGTTCTCAGAGTACAGGCTTTAAAGCTTAAATTGCCGCCCATAATTAACTATCCTTTTTGGTTTTCACTTCTTTTTTAAAACACACTAAAAGTATGTTCCCTGTTAGCTGAATTGTAATATACTACTGAAAGCCCAAAACTTGGGGGGCACCTGGGTGGCTCAGTCCGGTGAGCGTCCAACTCTTGGTTTCCGCTCAGGTCATGACCTCCCAGTTCATGAGTTCAGGCCTCGCATCAGGCTCCGAGCTGACAGTGGAGAGCCTTCTTGGGATTCTCTTTCTCTCGGGCCCTCCCCCGTGCTCACTCTCTCACTCTCTCTAGCTTTCTCTCTCTGAAAATAAATAAACTTAAAAGCCCAAAATTTGCAATCACGTAACTTAGCTTTGAACGTGAATTTGGCAATATGTACACTATGCCAGCCCTACCTCCTCCACTGTCAACATCTACAGTGACGCCCTCGGTCCCCCCGCAATGCTTAGCACAGAGTTGGTGGCCTATGTCAGTAGTACAAATCCACGGGCACCTCAGCAGCAATTTCAAACAATTAGCTCCAAACAGAGACTGTACGGATCTCCTTGCGGAAGTGGGCGGGCAGAACCTTGCCAGGCTGGGTTCCCAGAGCACTGAGGGCGAAGAACCCCAGAGCCCAGGCCCCTGGAGCTTTTAGAAGAACACGCTTTAATCCTCTTTCCCCCTTTCCAAGGGTCTTTACCGATAGGCAGTGAGTAATTTTGAAGAACATTTTTTAAAAAGGAACATTTCCTTGTCACTTGTTAGAAGTTCACTTCATAAAACCAGCCTAATGATGACAGTGGTGACAGGCTGATGACTCACAGCAAACGCTCCACGTTATGCTTCCGTCCTCCGCAATTCTATTCTCAGCTCAGAACAGCCGCTTGGTACACACGCACCGAAACTGTCTCTGACGGCCCCGCCCCGAGAGCCTGCCCCGGGGAAGCGGCCACGTGCCGCGACTCACCTGTCCAGGGACACAGACCGCTCAGCCGTGGACTCGGCTCGGAGCCTTCCCCGCCCGGCGCACTGCGGCAGGCTAGCATGTGCGAGAGAGAGCATGGAAAAGTCAAATTCTAATGAGAGGTAAACAGCGCAGTGCTCTCTACAAAACTGTAAGGGATTCATAAACTTCGTACACAAACTCACTGTACAACAACACGGATGGAGAGAGGGCAGTGAAACATTCAGTGTCCTGGGTGAACCTGGAAACCGGACTTACTCCAATGTGTTTTAAACATAAGACTCAATACTTGCTCTTATAGGCTGCCAGCCTATCAAAGAGGGGCTGTAAGACTTATTGAATGTAATAAAAGGATAAAAATAAAACGTATCAACAGGCCAGTTTCAACCATACAATAGCACCAACAGGTTAAGAAATACTTTAGGTCTGTGAACCACAAGTTACCCAGACATCTACAACTTGGCTGGTCTTGGAGGGACAATGACTGGCCGCAACCCTCGCTCTGGCGACCACGGCCACAGAAACACCAAATACTCATGCACATAATTTTTTCCACATTTTAAATATCCCACATCCAGTGAAATATATTTTAACTGGCCATCTTTCTGTCTTAGTGGTATGAAAAATAGTAAATAATATAATCAATAGCTTTTAAGACTCAATGAAATAAGGTATATTTCACACAGTTCTTTTCAGAAGTTACTAATGTAAATTTTTATTAAAGTCAGCCCTCCAGGGGCTCCTGGGTGGCTCAGTCAGTTGAGCGTCCGACTTCGGCTCAGGTCATGATCTCGTGGTTTGTGGGTTTGAGCCCCATGTCGGGCTCTGTGCTGACAGCTCAGAGCCTGGAGCCTGCTTCGGATTCTGTAACCCCCTCCCTCTCTCCCCCTCCCCAACTAGCACTCTGTCTCTGTACCTCAAAAAATAAAATTTAAAAAAAAACATTAAAGGGGCGCCTGGGTGGCGCAGTCGGTTAAGCGTCCGACTTCAGCCAGGTCACGATCTCATGGTCCGTGAGTTTGAGCCCCGCGTCGGGCTCTGGGCTGATGGCTCAGAGCCTGGAGCCTGTTTCCGATTCTGTGTCTCCCTCTCTCTCTGCCCCTCCCCCGTTCATGCTCTGTCTCTCTCTGTCCCAAAAATAAATAAATGTTGAAAAAAAAAATTTAAACAAAAAAATAAAAAAAACATTAAAAAAAATCAGCCCTCAAAATGAGCACTACTCAACAGCAGCCTGGTAGGGATCTGAAACACCCAGGTATGGAGCCCAGAGCCTTCAGCTTCCAGGCAGCAGCCCACAGACAGAGTTACTGGTGGATCTGCTATTTCTCTTGGAAAGGTCTGGAAGCTGCTTCTTTACCACACACACACACACACACACACACACACACACACACACACACACACACAAATTATTGGCCCACCTCCCACCCAGCATGTGACTCAAGTCTAGAGTGTACGTTCCATATGCTCAGTTCACTAATGCCATTGCTCTCAGTACATACTTTGTTCACCAAGAGTTGAACACCCCCATTTTTCTAACAACTGGTTCCCTGGATACATGTGGATTAAAGATCAAAAAGGATATGGGCAACAACTGGGGGCAAAATGAGGGTCACCAGAACTTGGAAGGGAAGCCAATAATCTCTCTGGAAGTGGAAGAATGAAAGCCCCATGGAAGGACCCGAACAAAGGAGGGTTCTAGACCACAAGCACAGCCTGCTCCAGGAGGCACAGGGGGCGGATTGCTCGCCCGCTCGGATGGAACCACCGTGGAGCTGGCGCGCCAACACCTGCACATCAAACTGCCCGATGGCTCCCCGTACGTTTCTGAGCAGCCGAAGAATCCATCTGTCTTCCCTTTATAGGTTTTTCTCCTCAGAAACAGCATAACGGCTGGCACATGATAAGCCCTCAGCAAACATGAGCTGGCATCCGCATGCCTGCACCTCAACCTAGGAGAGGTGGATGCTGTGAACCTTTTCAGATCCCGGACGGTGACAAATTCCCCGAGGTGAAAAAATGCTGGCTACCCAGCCTCCCCACTCCAGCCTCCCCACTCCAGCTTCAGCAAAGCACATTCAATGTGCCTTCTGTCTTATCTGACTTCTAGCCCGTGAGTTCTTGGGAGCGCAACAAGTTAGGCAGACCGGTGGTATCCACTCTGTGCTCTGCACAAGAGGGAGAGGGAGGGGCAGAAGAGGTCCTAATTTGGAAAACTCTGCAACACCCTCCCCTTTTAATCAGAGAATTCTGCCTGTGCAATACATTTTGGTACTTCTGTTGAAAGTACTATTTAAGCAAAGATCTCCACGACAGAAAAGCTTCACCTCCACTGACCCAGCTCTCACGTAGTAATAAGAGGTGAAACACGATCTCCTAATTGTATTAGTTTCCTAGGGCTGTCTTAACAAACTACCTCCAAATAGGTGTCTTAAAACAACAGACTTGTTGTCTTAAAGTCCTAGAGGCCGAGAGTCCAAAATCAAGGTGTTGGGAGGGCCATGCTCCGTCCAAAGTCTCTAGGGAAGAACACTTCCTTGCGTCTTCCAGCTTCTGGTGGCTGCTGACAATCCTCAGTGTCCCTTAGCTTGTGGCAACTAAGATGACTAACTCTAACCTTTCTTCCGTCTTTACCCAGCCACCTCCCCAGTGTGTGTGTATCTCATAAGGACGTCAGTCGCATTTGACTTAAGATTCACCCTAACCTACTATGTCCTCATCTAATTACATCTGTAAAGACCCTATTTCCAAATAAAATCAGATCCTGAGTTCTGGGCGGACATGAATTTGGAGGGCACCACTCAACATAATACACAATTTTTAAACATACATATTTCAAAATGATTTAAAAGCACTCCTTATTTTAAGTGGTTAACTTCTTATGATTCTATACTAACCTGTATTACATACTCAAAGATCGAATATCTTTAGTGGACAGAAGTTTCTAACACAACAGCTTTAAGTAAAAGGAATTTCTATTACCCCGCCATCAAATAGTACTATCTGCCTGGATTTACCAGCCGGTGACCCTCAGACCTCTGCCAGTATGAAAAGTCACACCAAGAAGTCTGAAGGCCTATTTACACACACTGTGTGAAGACTGAGAAATGCTTCTTTACCTTCAATGAATACTGCTGGGGCCACTCAAATACAAATTTGTTTAAAAGCATTAGTAAATTGATAACAGCTTTTTACCATACATATGTCTTCAATCAAAAAATGTCAAAAAATAAAATAAAATCTATTACCCTAGGTCCTTTCCAAGGGAATTGAAGAAAAGTAAATTAATATGCTGTATCTATCCATTTCAATCTAGCAAATTGGCAAGGACCAAATAAATGAGAACATCTCATTCACTGCTGGAAGCATAAATTGGCACAAACAGTATGAAAAGCCAAATCTGGTAGTGTTCATTAAGATCTTTAAAAGGCACATGTATTTTTTTTAAGCCAGGAATTTCACTTGTACGAATACATCCCAAAGCAAGTAAATGAGCCCAAAAATGCTACTCAACAAAGCCCATCTCAGAGTTGTCTGCACTGAAATACTTCCAGAAACTGTACAGAGATTGGTTAAATAGCATGGCCTCCATACAGTTAACAATGTCCAGACAATTAAAATGGACAGTTTCAACATAGGTGAAAGTGTCTGAGATAGAAATAGGCTCACAGTGCCTTCCAGACGTCTGCACGGCCTGTCCCCTCAGCCCCTTCCAGTATTCACACACACGTCACCATTTCCCTGAGAACTCCTTTGGCCGTGCTGTCTAAAATCCCAATCCAGGGGTGCCTGGGTGGCTCGGTTGGTTGAGTGTCTGGACTCTTGATTTCGGCTCAGGTCAGGATCCCAAGGTCATGGGATCGAGCCCCACATCCTGGAGCCTGCGAGTCTGCTTGAGATATTCTCGGTCTCCCTCTGCCCCTCTCTGCCCGTGTCTCTCCCCCACTGTGTCTCTCCCTCTCAAAAAAACAAAATAAAAAACTCCAATCCATACTACACACACACGTACACTTCAGGCCCCCTCCTGATTTTTTTTCCCTTGGCACATAACACCACCCAGCACTACGCATTTTACTTATCCACTCTGCTCATTATCACTGGAATTGTAAGCTCCATATTGGCAGGTCTTTTGTATAAGTTTTGTTCACTACCGATGCTTCAGCTCCCACAACATGCCTGGCATACAGAAGCTGCTAAATTAACAACATATCAATTTTAAAAAATCAGGTTATATCAAGATACACTACATAATCATATTTTTCATATTTCTCTCTTAAAAGTAAACACACACAAAGAAAAAAGGTCTGGAAGGAAAGACAAAATGGCATTAACCAGTAATAAGTATGACTCAAGGATTACAAGGTTTTGAGGTGGTGGTCGATTTTTTCTTAAGTTTATTTATTCTGAGAGAAAGAGAGATCATGAGTGGGGCGGGGGGCAGACAGAGGAGAGAGAGAATCCCAAGCAGGCTCCTGGCTGTCAATGCAGAGCTGGATGTGGAGCTCAACGAAGGGCTCGATCCCGGGACCCTAGGATCATGACCTGATCCAACATCAGTCAGAAGCTTAACAGACTGAGCCACCCAGGTGCCTCTGGTGGTGGTTGTTTCTAAATGGGGGCTAGAGAATTGAAAGACTAGAACTCTGTGTATCAATATTTCTTAATGTATTGAATATGCAATGAATTATGGGATTTTTGTTTAATTTCAAAACTGAGAATCCCATAAGAAGGAGGTTTGGAATCACAGCACAACCTTTTAGGCAGAAGCAGTGGTTCTCACAGGCATTCATACCATTCTGGAGTACCAGCTGCCCTGAAATCTGGGGGGCACAGCCTACAGAAAGCTCACAAATGCTTTGAAGTCTCTTATTTGATCTCAAAAAATTAATGCAAATGTTGCATTCCATTGGATAACTTATCTGTTGTCATCTAATTATACAAATGCATTATAGTACTTACCAGTTACATTACTTAACATTTTTCCCCAAAGCCACTGCATTCATTTTACATGTCAGAAGGATGCCCCATGCATCTCCTGCCCACTGGCACCTGTCTGAGAAGTACAGTCTGTCTGTTGCTGTTTTGCTTTTCCATAATTAAAAGAGATCTCAAGAGTCCCTATTTCACAAATCAGAAGACTATGGTTCTAACAAGGCAATCACAGTGACTCATTTAAGGTCCCAAGCTAGAGGCCCTCATCCCCTGGCTGTCCTTCCAGAGCTCATCCTACCATATTACATTCTACATCTTATCGGTATGGCTTTTGGCATTACTGAAAGTACATCTCCATTTCTCCATAAAATAAACCAACTGCACATTTTTAAGGCTCGCACAATTAACAAATCTGTAAGTTCCATGCATGTCCTCAGGTAGACCTATAGGTCTACAAAATTAAGTGCACACTTAGCTGATATAATTAGTAAGATGACATTTAGTTTAAAAAGTTTTCAAGTAATACATTTGAAAATTTTACCCTCTAAAAAAAAAAAGGAAGAAAATTAACCTCTGAGCCTCACTGTGATATTTGATAAACCAAAAAAAATTAGATCAGATAGAAATTAAGCCAACCTGATATGCTTTCTGCTACATTTCTTACAGTCTATGACATTTACAAATGTTCACATTTTGTGTTAAAAAGGGAACCACTGAGGGGCACCTGGGTGGCTCAGTCAATTAAGTGTCGGACTCTTGATTTCGGCTCAGGTCATGATCTTGTGGTTCATTAGATCGAGCCCTGCATCAGGCTCCACACTGACAGCACAGAGCCTGCTTGGGCTTCTCTCTTTCCTTCTCTGCCCCTCCCTGCCCCCAAAATAAATAAACATTTAAAAAAAAAAACTCTTTAAAAGGGAACCACAGATTTCTTATAAAATCCAACTTTTCTGCATTGATACAATAAAAATAACCACCTACTTAGACCATCCACAGTCATTCTGATTTTTTCTTTTCCATAAAGAATGTGTACCTCACCAAATCACAGGCTGACATGCAGGCTCCCATGCCAGGCACTCTAATTACATCATTTCACCAGGAAGTTCATTCAACTTACAAAGTAACAGAAGATTCATCACATAAAAATCATTCAGCGGCCCACCAGCAGAGCTCTATATATAAAGACTAATTTTTGTAATAGTGGCAAATTGATTTAAAGTTCAAGCTTCCTACTTAAACGTCAGTTTTCCTCTCCTGCATAACAGAAGTTTTGAAGGCACTGTCACCACTTTAATTGTCACCAGGCTTGGGGTACGCCTAGCATCGCAGCTATTCTCAAGAACCAACCATCACCATAATACTAAGATTCAGAGCACCACTTCAGAAACCAGGGTGAGTGGGTAATGGACCCTAGGAGGAAAATGGAACATAGTCTCGGAGATTTAGGGAAACAAAAAAGTAACTTAACTTGTTGAAGTGTGAAGGAAAAGAATCATTTTTTATGCTTAAACATAGACATTTGGTTTATTAGAAGCATAATATGGATGAATTTTTATATTTTACAAATCATGAAGACTTGCAAGCAAAGAGAATTCTCAAGAATGCAAATTGTTCTTTGTATTGTCCCTCCACCTGGCAAACTAACTGGGATGATGGGCACAAAGCTAGGAAGGAACCACTCACCATAAAATACAAAGGATCTAATAAGGTACCATGATAGCATGTTGGTACCTCTGACATACTGGAGCATTCACTGTGATGAAGCATTGCCCTTGGAATTAAGCTAAAGCTCCTCATGCAAGGTAGCTCCACCCCCTGCTTCCTGCCCCCTCTCCTGCCACCTGCCGTGGTGGAAGAAGACCACCCTTCAGATCCAGGGTACCCAAGAGGCATGGAGGAGAGACAGGTCCCTAGACACTGGAACAAGAATAGCACAAGCCCAGCACTTAGGGAAAACGGGATTAGGAGCTGAGCACCCAGGGGTGGCTATCTATAGGCATCCCTTCAGGGTTGGCTTAGAAACGCAGATTTGGCCTTGAAGTCTGCAGTGCAGAAACTTCTGCCCCAGGAAAAGATGCGTCTGGACCAACCCGCCCGCCAGAACTATCTGCTTAGGGGTTGTGCCCTCCACTCACGAATTGGGGACGGGACAGAAAATGGGTAGCGTTTTGCTCAGTAGACTCTACCTCTCTAACTTACAGATTCCTAAAAAGGACTCTAGGTGATTTCCGGCCACGGAAGATGCGAGCGACTTTGTGGGAGCGTTCTGGAAGGCTGCAGTCTAGGCAGCCCGCAGGTGCAGAGGGAACGCTGCCCTCTCGGCGGCTTGCAGGTGCGGACCAGCGAAGTGCACCTGCCCTCCCAGGCGGAACGCATCCGCGCCAAGCGCCGCTCAAGGGCTCCCTGTTCCTCGCACTGCCTAGAATTCAGTGAAGGAGGAATAACGTCTCCGGGGGAAACTGGTCTACTTGTATCAGGACTTAGGGTAACCCCACGTTTCCAAGTTGAAGAGATTTCCTCCCGCGGTTTTTCAGACCTTTCCCGCACTAAAAAGAGCCGCGCGACGCGCCGCAGCCGAACGAATGAAAACAGGGGGGTAGGGTGGCAGAGCAGAGACCCGACCCACGGCCCCGCGAGAGTCACCTGAACCCGGCGGGCCCGGGGGCCGCGCCGACGCCGCCAGGCGGCAAACGCAGCGCCTGGAGCCCGCGCCAGTGCTGTTGCAGTAGCCGGCCGCGTCCCGTCGCCATGGAGACTCCACAGACACGCCAGAGGCGGAGCGGCAGCTGGAGGGAGGAACGCACCGCCCCGCGCCACGCCCACTCGACGCCGGCACGTTCTCCGCCGCGCGTGCGCAAGGACGGTTGGCGGTACGGCCTTTACGCCGGCTCCCGGAGCCGTTCTAGAAATTTCTGGGGCCCTGCTTCTTCCCACACCCGATGGCCTGATGGTGAGGACGCTGCGCGGCAAGCGGCCTTTGAGTTTCGGGCACTGGCGTTGGGCACTGCGGCGGCCGGGTCCCTCCCCACCTGCTGGGTCTGGGGAAATTTGTGCTTCCTGTCTGGTTTCCTTGGTTAGAAACTCAAACGCAAAGGCTAAGGAACGGCAAGGCCACGGTCAGACTGAGAATTTACCAGTTTACACGGTTCTCTCTAGAGAGTTGCAAGAACACCCAGTTTGTAATCGCTAATTTCTTTCTTGGCACTTGTACGAACCGCCCCGCCCGCCCCTACCGTCCCAAATACGAGCAGCGCATGCGCAGGGAACTCTGGGAGGTGGTGAAAAGGCCGGCACTGGCTCTGGCCGCCTTGCACTGTGGGAGTTGTAGTCCTGGCGCCTTTCCCCCTTGCGGTAACTCGGTGAGGAGTGAGGTCTTCGGACTACTATTCCCAGGACTCCCCGAGGTTTCCCAGCTTCCTTTGCAAAGGCATGGCGGGTAGAGTGTGACTGTCAGTATGGAAGGTAATTAAAGTGTTTTAATTCCAGCAAAAAGAGCACCGACGAGAAGAGGTGGACGCAACTTCTTTTGGGAGCTAACGTTTTCGCCGAACACGCCATGCAGAATTAGCGGTGTGAATGTGTAGACCTGAGTACACTCCGGCGGGGTGTGTATTGTGCGGTGAAACTTTGCTGTTCGTAGTTGTCACGTTTCCAGAGCGGAGCGGTTTTCTGTGAACATGATTTGTACCTTTTTACGAGCTGTACAGTGTGCGGAGAAGCTGCGCAGGTCCTCCGGGAAGCGGCTGTTTCTGCCACACTTAGTGCTTAACAAAGCTTGCTTGAAGACTGCGCCCACTTTGAGCTGGGGTCTGCGAGAGCCAAAGAAAACGGTGCGCCCTAAATGTGCCCCTGACGTCACCCAGAAAACCATCTGGACGCAGGGGCAGAGCCCCCCGAGAGCAAAAGAGGACAGCAGCAAGCAGGTGTCTGTGCACAGAGAGACCGGGGAGACCATCGTCTCAACGTCACAGAAAGGTAACAGCAATGGTCGGTCTTTCAACTAACGAGCCGAGAGCCAGGAGTGTCTTTTTGCACGAATTCGGAGCCAAAGCTAGAAGAACAGTTTACACGAATTAAAGGCTAGAGCCTTCAACACAGTTGAGAATTTTGAGAATATAGGTCTACAGTTTTCTTCACAGACTTGAACTCAGATTTGCAAGTTGATTTTGACATAACTTTGTTGAATTATGGCTAAAAATGTTCAGCTTTTATTAGTTTTAGTGTGGAGCTGTAAAAGTTAACCATTGTTGGGTGTAAGTAAGTAGATTTCACAGATGTCGTTTCATCTCACTTGAGTGTCCTATTCGCTCCTTCAGACAAACATTAGCTCTTCATGTATGAGGCACACTTCCTCAGTTTCCACGACGGAAAGTTAAAACCGAAGTTTCCTCATCTTAATTGTGTGATACCCAGGTCCGTGCTCTTTAGAAAAGCCATTCACAAGTACTTCCTGAGCTTCCGTTTTCCATGCTTAACACTTGAGTGGATGCTCACGGGTGTGCCAGGAACTCCTATACACAAATAGGTTAGCACTTAATGAGGAAGAGAATGGATAAAAACAGTGAAAACAGTAATTGTGCCACAAAGAGAGTACCTGGAAGTATATGATACAGAGTAATTGGGTAGAATAAATAAAGGAGCTACTACCGAGTCATAATCCTAGGGCTTAGCTCACGTAGGTCAACTCCACACTGCTCTTGAATGCCTGCTGTGCCCAGATACTGAGTTAGACTCTTTCTGCTACAGAGTTAAACATGTTCAAAACATCATTTCCCAGCAGGTGACATGGGAAGTAATAGGACGTATTTAATAGGAAAGGCGAAATGTAATTCTGTCAGGGAAAGTCAGAGAAGTTTTCACAGATGAGGTAATGAATTTAATTTTTATTTTTTCATTTTACAAGTAATTTGTAGAAAAAATAAGTAGGAAGCAAAGAGGAAGTAGGAAGGAAGATTGATCGATGTCCTTCAGACGCCCATGATCATACCATGCAAACATGACTACTGTTAATATTTATGTCATTTCGATGCATATACTTTTTAACAACATTAACAGAAAAACTTAACTGGATCCTACCCGTTGTTTTGCAGTCTGCTGAATATGTAAAACAGGTAATCATTCCTTCATAATAGCCTGAACAGGGTTGTGAGGGGTGATTAAAAGTTGAGCATGAAGGAACAGCCCGCATGCAGAGGACAAAGGCATAGACCTGTTCCAACAGCATGTGTCAGGTCGTCTGGCTCCAGCGACCGTACTGCTTACACTGCAGTTGGGTCCTGCTGCAGAGTCCGGTCCTGATCTGGACCCCATTCAAAGGTGACAGTCTTCCTGATGACTCAGTGAATGAGTGGGAGCAGCGTTCCCAAACGCAGAATGTGCTGCACCTAGAGTCCAAAGGGACCTGTCACACATTGTGGTAGGACATACGGGATGCAGTGGTTTATTTGGGATAGGGGGTCTCAACATGCCCCATAGAGTGAACCCCTAAGACTTTTGTTTGTGTGGTTGGTGAGCCCTGGATCTATTTTTGAGGCTAATCCCCCCCCACACATAGTACATGTGTTTTCAAGCTTCGCAACACATGTCCCCCTTACTACTTTTGTCTCTAATATAATGGCATAGATAGAATGGATAAATGTGATGTTATGCAGAATGTCCAAACAGCATTGTCCAAATAAAACTTTATGCAGTGATGGAAATATTCCAGATGTATGCTGTCTCAGTATGGTGGCCAACAGCCACACGTGGCTATTCAGCTCTTAAAATGTCGTTAGTGTGATTGAAGAACTGAATGTTTATTTAATTTTAAGTTAACTTGATTTTAAAATTAAACTCAAATAGCCATGTGTGGTGTGTGGTTACTGTACAGGACAGCCAAAATCCAGAAGGTCCAGGTCCCTTAAAACTACACTGTAACAGAGTAAGAGACCTAACAAATCCTAGGCAAGACCGTACATATACATGTTATTACCTGTTTCGTGTTATTGCAGACTGCTACCGCTGCTTCCTCTCAGTAGAGTTGGAAACGAAGGCCTTCTCCAGGTCAGTGGCCAAAGCCATGAGTCTGTTAACGTGCTCCTGTAAGGTTACCATATCTGGCATTGCATCTGTATTGGGATGACTACGTGGTTGAATTTCTAGTGGGTCACTGTCCTACTCCAGGTTCTGCCTGATTTTTATAAGGGGCAGACTGGTAAGTTACATGGGAATATGTTGGTGACCACCGCCTTTGTATCTTTGGGTCTTCTTAAGGTAGCACTATGGCTGACGCTCCCCCATGGATGTAATACTGTTTTGGATTTACTGTCTCCGTCTGGGGAGGGGCAGGGGGAGTGCAGTTTCAGAGGCTCCCATTCAGCTTTTCCCATTATGGTAGCTTTCAATCCACCCCCAGAGGAACCAAAGTAGGAATTGTTGTTGTCAATTACGAGTATATCCATTCAGTTTACACACTGGAAATAAATGATAACCAAATAAATCTGTGGACCCAGCTGTGAGCCTATTACAAGTCACACTCCATATTACATGGCCACTATGTAAACCTAAAAGAGGCGCCATGTGACTTTGGGTCCAGGGGTGTCACTGTCATCTCAGACTCTGTCCAACAGACCCTGAAATGTTTGGGTGTTCCTCTTCTTCCAGTGTATGCTTACCAAGTTGACGACTATAGGGCTCTTTGGTGAAGGCCCAGGGAATCCTATGTATGTGGTCAGGTCCCTCCTAGTGGGAGTCTGGGTAAGTTTCAGGTGCTCAGGTCCAGAAACTGAGCCAGTCCTCATGACTTTGCGTTGGGGCATCTGCCTTCAGCTTCCTGGTCACCCATAATTAATTCCTGAGGATTGTGCAGATTGATTGATGTCCTTGTCAGCTACCCGTCAGTCTTGCCCTTGGGAACACCACGTTGCAGTGGCATCACCAGGCCGGACACCCCTGGCTGCCACCCCACCCTTGCCATTCATTGTGGTGGTGGCACCCACCTGGCTTCTGATGGTTCAAGTGTCACGGCCCACCATCAGGATACCCTGTTCTGTGTCCCCGGGTCCTCTGACAGGACAGTCGGCTAGTGGGTTTCAGCCTTTACTATACCCATCCTAGCATGCCCGTTCTCTGAGCCTTTTCATCCTTTCCTCCACAATTTGCCATTTCACCTCACTTAATGTGGACCATCCTCTCTCCATGTTTCCAAGAGCATAGAACCTAACTGCATCAGCTTCCGGGGTGCTTGCCAGACTTCAGTTCGTGACCACGGAAGAGTGTTCCCGTGTTGACCAACTCTCACTAGTCTGTTCTGTGTCCCTTCATACTGGCCTCAGGACCCCGTCACCTGTGTGCTCTCTTAGCACCTGCCGGTGGGGCCTCCAGCTCCCTCTGGTCATGGTCCTTTCCTCCTTCCTCCCAGTTATGCTGTAACCTGGCCAGAGCACATGTCTTGCTAAATGGAAGCCCCCACCTACTCTTAAAGGAGGAGAAAGAGCTGACGCTTCAAGGCCAAAGGGTTCAGGAGATCCTGAGGACTCAGGATTTTTGAGTGCATCAGCCTAGATGTCCCCACACCAAGCCTCAGCTCCTCTTTCCTCCCACATCAGGACCCGGGACTCGGCATGAAGACCTGTTGGGGTTGAGAGTCCAGCCTCTCTGCTTCCCTTTATGCCCTGGGCCTCACAGCTTCTCTGCCCTCTGGGTACAACAGAGGGGCATCGTTTTGCTCCCCAGGAGGCCTCTGCCTTTTTGGCACTTCATCTTCCTCGGTAATTATTCTCATCTTCTCTCTTCATCCAGTGCATTGGTGGTCCCCCGACGACAGCCATCCAGTCTGAGTTCATAAGATGGCTTGTTCCCAAAATGTGGTACCAATCCGCATTCTCTTTTACCAGTACCACATCCCAGGTCACCGTTGGGGACAGCTGCAAGCGCACCAGCAGCGCATGCGGTCCTGTCGGCTGTGCTCTGCCACCAGGGACGGGCCTCGATGCGGCCTGCGGCCACTGGTCCAGCTCCGAAGTCCCAGTTCAGAGCTACTTTCTGGGACCGCTCCTGGTAGCAGGTGCTGTAGGTGGGATTTGCATACAGGAGGCTTGTTGGGAGTGCTCTGAGAACACATCTGTGAAAGTATGAGAAGCAGGATGACCCAGAGGGACAAGTTGGGTCACATATTTGCCTATTCCCCGGGGAGCCCTGGGACTGGACTGGCACATCACAGTCCTTCCCTCTTCAGGCGTGGGGGCTGCACCTTTTACTTCAGCACCAGCCAAGCATCGGGTGTGAGAACGGCCCTGACCCTGGTGAGAGGGCACCCTCCAGATGAAGGAATTGCCTAGTGGGGAGCTTGGCTGAGGGAATCAGGAGGCTCAGTCCTGAGGGGAGGATCAGGGTGGCTCAGCACAGCACCCTGTGGTAGGAGGGGTAGAGAATCGCAGGAATGTGGGCAAGGAGCAGCTTGTGTTGAAGACAACTGTGAAATGATGCTGAAACAGACTTGGAAAATGTGTAGACTGTGGATAATAGCTTTGCACACGGTAGATCCACAACAGATGTTTGTGGCTGCATAAATAGAGAAGATGGCCTTCCAGGTGCCCTGAGCAAGACTGGTGTGAGTGTTGGATGGGCAGTCAGGATTCAGGTGTTGGGGCCAGAGGCCTGATCTGGGAACAGGGACTAATACGACAACTTACAGTATGGCCATTAGTGTGTCCTCACCTTGGGGCTGGCACACACCTGGCAGTTAATATTTGTTAAGTATCTTTTGTGACCTTAATAAAATGAGAAGTTCTCACTGTTGGCCTCTCTACACCCGAGGACGTGGACTGTGGGCTGACAGCGATTGTGGGGATCAAGCCATGACTTAGGTTTGGGCCGATGCAGTCTTTTTATTTTTTGAATCCCCTCTTTGTGGTTAGGAACCTGTACTGGAGGAGTTGAGGATTACTCTTTGCTAGAGTGCTTTTAAATAAGTTTTATTTTGTGGAAGTAATAGAAGCTCAGTGTACAGAAGGGGAACTTGGAGAAAACAATAGCAACAACCACTGTTAACATTTTGTTTTTCTGAAAAGTCTGTAAATTTATATTCCAGAAATCTGTGTTCTTACTGCAGCCAATAAATTAACCTATAGACAGAACATCGGGCCGTGAGTCACGTTTTCAGCACCAGTGAAGAAGGTGCATTTGTGACTGTAATGGTAAAACAGCTCAAACGTGTAGATCCTTCCATCAGCGCATGCAGATACGTGCACGTGTGTGCGTCCCATGGTGACACCTTGGATTCGTTTCGCTCTCAGAGCTTCCGGTTAGTCCACACACTCATCTTTATCAGCGTTGAAAACACAAAGTGCAGTATCTATGCAGATTCCCCATTTTCTAAGTCATTTGATTCACAAATCTGTGTGGCCGGGCGAGTTCCTGTTGGCAAATCCCGTTCTGTGTTTATCGTGCGCGGCCAGGAGAGGAGGTGGCCCGCCCACCGGGCGGGAACGTGGCCGTGAAGAGCCAGGACCAAGTTTGAGGCCTTGGACCGAGGCCCACAAAGCGGACACTTGCCTTGGTCTGCGAACAGCACAACGTGTCCAGGGTTGCCTAACCTGTTCCAGCCGAGGGCCTGGATCACTTGGGAAAGTAAGGAGGCAAATTTTATAATGCAACAAATGCAATAAAAGTACGGATTCCTGGGCCCAGAATTCTGCCGAGGTTCTTTTGAAAACTTTGCTCAGGTGGTTCGGCTCCCCAGAACCAGGATCCTGCGCCCCAGAACACAGGCAGGGGTCCCGCGTGTGGGCTCACCCCCCGAAAGCGCTGGAGCAGGAGCTCACAGGGCACATGCGTAACTGGGCGGTGCTTTCTCGTTACAGTGAAGGAAGCTGGGAGAGATTTTACCTACCTGGTGGTGGTTCTTATTGGAATCGGCATCACAGGTCAGACACAGCAAGTAGAACACCCCCAAAATCGTTATGACTCCTCCTTTGTCTTGCTCTTGCTTTGCCTGATCTCCTTTCTCTACAATTTTCAGGTGGCCTGTTTTACACGATTTTCAGAGAACTGTTTTCTTCGTCCAGTCCTAATAAGATCTATGGGAAAGCCTTAGAAAAATGCAGATCACATCCAGAGGTGAGTCCTCGGATCGAGTTACACATGCTCTGAGGATGCTGAGAAAACTTCGATGGGTGGAAGTGGGCGGAACCCACTTTGGTTCTGAGGCTAGTGGTGGTTGTATGATAACAAAGGCATAATGGTTGGATGGTGATTGTTTTTAGCTCTCTGTTCCATACTTGACATGCTTCAAGACCTCCGTCGCCCAAAGGCCTGTAGGGGGATTTCATCCTAATTATGCAAGAGAGGCACTTTACTAGTTGCCGTAGACATTAAGTGCCTAGACCTTTAAACTCACGTGACGTTTCTAGTCTTTTAAAAAGCCTGATTCACGACCTCCTGATCCTAAGAATTATTGACCCTTGGGCACATTAGACACCAGGCACTAAGCTCAGCGCATCTTTCTTGGATCTCACAAAAACCATGTGTGTTAGATAGTATTCTGCTGTTTGCAGAAGGGGAGACCCACACTTCAGAGATCAGGTAGCCCCACTGAGATCGCTGAGCAGGAAGTGGGCCGGTCAGGGCCTGAGCCCAAGTTTATCTGACTCCAAAGCCTGTGCACTTAAGCACAGCCTGTAAAGCATTCCTGGAGGCGGCCGACATGTGGAAAAGTTGCCTCGATTCTGTTACGGGTCCTGTCCAGAAAGAGGGCTTTCTGTGGTGCTTTCCAGTCACAGATAGAAAGCCTGTGAAGTGCCCGATTTCCTACCCCCCTGGATGGAAAGCTTCAGCATTGAAAAATACTGCTCACTGAAATCTTAGTCCTCGTCCTGGGAAGGAAGATGGCAGATGGCACCATAACCACCGGGGCGGTTTTGTGCACAGACCCGGGAGTGATGCCCGAGATAGACCACGCACTGCCCAGTGAGGGGACACATGTGAAGCCACCCTGACCGGTTTCCCTGGGGCCCCCACTCCGCTTACTCCACCGGTTTTCCAGTCCTGTCAGGGAGAAGACCTCAGGCTAACGGTCTCTGGCATCTTTCTCTTAAACCTGTGGATTTCTTCTAGTTGGACTCTGGGCCTGTGAGAACGGTGGAGGAGGAGGCAGGGAGACCCAGCGCTGAGTAAGTGGAAAAGCAGCAGGGAGTACAGAACATTCCAGTTCTAGTTCTTTTTTTGGAAAGGCTCCAAAGTATTTGCACCTTAAATTCAGTAAAAACTACGTTTCCATGTGATTGTGAGTTTTCCCTTCGGAATCACTTTCATGCCTCTGGGTCTGGTTTGTTGTAAACAGATCGTTGTTAGGGTTTCCCCTGCTCTCCTCAAGTGAGGAGGCAGCTACCATTTCGTAAACACCAGAATCCTTTGGATTTTTCTCAGAACAGCTGTTCACGTAGGTCTTTGTCAAAAGCAAAGTGGTGAAGCGAACGTCCATGTAGCTGCCGAAACCTGTACTTGTTTTATTTCACTGTGTTTAGTGACTCAAGAAATGTTTTGTCCTTGTAGCTTTTAGTATTAGACCCCGTTAGATAAATTTCACTAAAAACGTCCAACCATTTGAACACTTCGTGGTGTTTGGATTTTCTGCGGGAAGAAAGAACAATGTGGCTTCGGCCTCCACTGCTCTGCAACTACAGGTCACACGGTGAAGTCCCGTTTCCCTCTCTTTGTGGGAGGGTTTTGCATAATTTCATTTTTTCCCGTGTTCTCGTTGGAGTTGTCATTTTGAAAGGGTCGCAGGTTTAATGATTTTTTTTTTTCTCAAAACTGACTTGATTTGTCAAAAACTGTTTCCCTGGGAAGCTTACAAGAAGGCGCCCTTACAGAGCCGGTGTGTCCCACAGGTGATCAGTGTCTTTGGTGAGCCGGTGAAGGGCTACGGGGAGGCGACCCGCCGCGGGCGAAGGCAGCACGTCAGGTACCGCGGGTCGCTCGTATGGGCAGAGCTCGGGTGAGTTCTAGATGCAGGCCATTCAGGCCATGCTCTTTCATTTTCCCGGCAGTTTCATTGAGTACGTCAAGGATGGGCTGAAACACATGCGTGTGAAGTTCTACATCCAGGGCTCCGAGCCTGGGAAGCAAGGAACAGTGCATCTCGAAGTGAAAGAGGTGTGGGGACCATGGCGGGGACTGTGTGGGGACTCAGGGCTCGGATGCAGCGGGACGTAGGCGCTGGGGAGAGAACTAACACTTGGAAATATGTTTGCTTTTCAGAACCCAGAAAGTGGCGAATATGAATTTCGATACATATTTGTTGAACTTGAGTCCTTCCCTGGAAGAACTATTGTCATCGAAGACAATCGATCCTGAGGGGATCGCGGGACTCAGGCACGCGCGGCTTCTGGGGGGGGGGGATGTGGAACCCCGCACACCCGCAGGCTGGTCTCCCCGCTCTCCTCCCGAGTCTGCAGAGTAAGACAGGAAAGAACACACGGCTCATAAAAGTGAGTGTAAGGGTAGTAATTGCATTTAGACACACTGAAGTGGCGATTTTCCTGTAGACGGCAAAATCATGAAATGGAACGTATTTTACGTTCTCTCTGAATCGATCGTGGACAGTGTTTCTGCTCTAGTGAAAATCATCTTTCACGATAAGAGATTTTTGTTATTAAATGCTTTGTACCATGTAAATGAGGAAAACGAGTTCAGTATTTTATGCTTTTATGTTGAGTAACTATATAAAATCTGTGAAAAGTAACAAAAAGATGTCAGAAGTAGCTTCCTTCCATATACTTTGGAATCTTGAACACGTGAAAGCATTTGAGGACTGAAGGAAGTTCAGCTCACAGATGCACAAGGTACCCTCTCCAGGATTGCTGTGGAAAGGCTGCACACGCGGCATGGCTTGTAGTAACCTAGTACATGCTGTGCTTCCTCAGCGAGCTGGAACACGGTGTATGCAGTGGGAGGAGCCCATGCCCGCAGACCTGGGGGACTGGCCCTCACCAGGTGCGTGGGCCTGTACAGATGGCACAGCCACGTCAGATCCCACCGTCCTGGCTGGTAGGACGACCGAAGGAGAGGCAGGTGCAGGCACCCAACCACAGATGGCATCGTGGAGTGTCCCCACGCCCTTCAGAACATGCACACCTCTTAAATGCCTGAGGATCATGGAGACCAATGAGCAAGCGTGTGTGGAATGCCTTTCTGGGTGATGACGGTTCTGTTTTTTCTGCAGTATATATACGGGTGATCTGGAGACATATTTAGGGGGTAGGAGGACAGGACTTTGCCAGCAAGTGGGTGAAGAGGGCGTTGTCCAGAGTAGCCCTCAGGTCTGCCTGGAGTGAGCACGGGAAGAATTCGGGGAGGGGGTGCACGATAGGAAGTTCCACATCGAGCTTGATGAGCACCTGAGGCAGCCAGGTGGCAGGTCTGGAAGCAACGGAACATTAGGTCTGATGCTCAGGACACTGTCCCGCCTACAGAAGGAACTCGAAAGCCCCGCAGGGAGGAAGCAGCTGAGGCCAATGGGGTGAGGGGGCCGTGTAGGGGGGCATGTGGGGGCAGAGGGGAGGGTGCGTCACCCCACACCACTGGTTCCCTAGAATTCTTGACAGACACTACCAAAAGGATTTCTGTTTCTGCTTGGAATTTTGAACTTGTTTCATCCTATTTTTCTTTCACTGTTAAAGATGAAAGAAATCTGGGGACCTAGAAAAGGAAGCCAGCGAGGAAACTGTGAAGTGCAGGGAAGAAAAGGGACAAGGATAGAGCAAGGTCCCTGGGGCTGGATTCAGAGCAGAAAAGGAGGGAGGCAGGACGGCAGCCCAGGCAGGGAAGTCTGTGTGGGGGGAAAAGGCGGAGTGTCCCCAGCTGGTCAGCCCAAGTCTGCCAGCAGTTGTCAAAATGCTCAGAGTGGGGTAGGGGGTGAAGGTCTAGAATAGCAACCGGAGGACAGGAGAGGGGACTGAGCAGGGGGTGGTGGCCAAGGTGAGACCAGACCCAGAAAGTGTGTAAGATGGTCCCCTGCACACACATGCGATCCGCCAGCTCGGGGACGGACAAGGCCGAGAGCTGGATGCACTAGTATGAGGCCGCTGGGCCACCTGACGAGTGTGAGCCTCACAGGCCATCAGGGAGGCCTTGTCTGCCCAGATGGCAGCTCTCACCGGAAAGCTGCAGTGAGTGACTTCGTGTGGCTTCCGTGCAGCCACGGACCCAGATGGACCACACATGTGGAAGCTGGTTCTCCACCAGGAAGGATCCGTGTTTATCCATCCAACAGCTCTGGGGCGCCTGGTACCCAGGTGGGAAGACGGAGTGGGATCTCTGCCTCACACCACACAGGCATCCGATTGGGTAGGTTAACACCTTGCAACTTAGATGGTCCTTGTGACATTTTTGGACAGGATTTTGCAAGACACAAAATTAGAAACCATGATGGAAAAGGGTGATTTTAAGATGAACTTAATCAGAAAAAAAGTAAGCCACTAATGAGAAAACGTTCCGGCACACATAGCAAAGAAAGCATTACTTTTCAGAACATACTAAGATCTCCCAGCCAGCCAGTGAGCAAGCGAAAAGCAGCAAGCGAGTGCCAAAGTGGGCAGAAGCCCAGGAAGGTTCTCAGCACACAGGAGAACACATCAAGCTAATGAAATTCTGAGAATATTCCGGCCTCACTGAAGAACGTGCAGTGTGGATTACTGGTTTCCATCTGCCAGATTGGTGAAAGAAGGTGAATGGAGCCAGGGAGCTCTTCGCTGCTGGGACGGGATCCAACAGCATTTGCTGGGCAGCCTGTGGGCCTTTGGAGGCAATTAGGCCGTGAGGGTGTGGTCCCCAGGAATGGGATTAGATCCCTCTTATAAGAGACCCCAGACAGCTTCCTAGACCTGTCCACCGTCCACCACGTGAGGACAGAGAGAAGTCTGCCCCTCCCTGGGCCCCACAGGCCCCCTGATCTCGCACCTCCAGCCTGCAGGAAGGTGAGCAGTAAACCTGTTCGTCTGTGGCCTTTTGTTAGAGCAGCCCAGACGGACTGACAACTCGGCACCGTGTGAGCGGAGGACACGGTGCCCACGTGAGCACGGGTCGCGGTGCCGTGCAAAGCGGAGACGATGAGGAAAAGGAACCAATGCCAGCCACATACGTCAGCACGCTGAAATCTCACAAATACTTTGTGCAAAGAAGGTGAGTTGCAAAGCAATACGTGCTTGTGACACCATGTTTAGGAAGCCCAGAAACACACAAAAGTGAATAAAATACTGCTTGGAGATGCGTACCCCTGCGGCAGACTCCGTGAGGGAGTGCAGGGGAAGACCAGCCCACTTCTGGGGAAATGGTACCTCGGGCAAGAGGGGAGCTGCGTGGGCTTGGTCGCAGACACGATCTCAGGCCGGGGACGGGGACAGGGCTGGCCACCTGCCACCACACATGGGCAAATGTATGCGGAAGTCAGCAAAGCTTAATTAAGTGCAGGGTCCCTCACTGCCACAGACCCCAAAGCCCAGTGCTGCACTGGGTATTATCCCCTTTCTTACAGACAACTCCGAAAACTGCCAAGGACTTGGGGCCCTCAGGGTTCGGACTCACCCCTACCTGAAATGATGTGTCCGGCGTTTCAGGATGGAAACGTGAGAGCACTTCCCCCACCAGGCTCGTGTTCCAGGCCGAAGTGGGTCCTTCAGCCTTGTCTCAGATTTGACTTCCCTTGTTACACCGAATGCTGGGGTCTCTCCAGACTCCCTGTGCTAACAGATACACCCAAGCCCGTAATACCTTTGTATTTGTTTCCTTCACTTACTCTCTCCGTATCCTAAGCTGTATCTAATTTACAATTTTGGCTACACGTCTGTTTTTCCTCCTTAGTGTTTAATCCATCCCTACCCCCTGCCCATGGTAGGTGCTCCGAGGGGCTGTCAGCATCTTCTCCTAAGTCACCGTCTCTGCCCATCTCCCCTCCTCGCTGCTCAAGCAGTGAGGCTTTCTAAAACCAGATCTGATTGCGCTCTGACCCTGCCCACACCCTTCAGGGACCCTCAGCTGTGGATCAGGCTGAGTCTCCTTTGCAAAGCCCTCATGATGAAATCTGGCCCCCGTGCTGTGCCCGAGTCTCCCCAGCTCCCTACACGGGTTCCCCCGCCCCCAGCGTGGGTCCAGCCACCCTGTTCAGGCCCCCCTCCACGGGCTCACTTCTTTATATCCTCATGTTCAAACGCATCACTGATGGGTTAAGACTTGTGTGTATTTTGCTGGTAAACATTGTCGGCTACTTGGAATTTTCTTAACACTGGGCCACGTGCACATTCCTCTCTTACCAAAGCAGTTACGGAGGCTACACTTTAACTGGGTAAGATGTCTCCTTTCCTCAGTAGCGTTTTCAGACACCATCTACAGAATTCCATAAAGTTCCACACAAACCTTGGGGACACAATGCATAGTTTATGTCCGCTCCTTAGCAGTGCCAAAAAAGCCAAACCCCCCACATTCGCAGGCCGTATGTTTGTGTGGCCGAAAGTACCCCTTACCTGCATGATCTCACTGGGGCCGCACAGCCACGTGGGCTGACCAGGGGCTCCCATTTAACTGATGGGCGGTATGGGGCCTCATTAGTCCCAGGAACCAGAAACAGGAATTCTCACTCAGGCATTCAATCTTTTAGCGCCTCCTGGGTGCACCTGTGTGGCGCAAGGGTGAGGGGCTGTTCCCCACGAGGGGTATGGAAGCCACGTCCTGTGATTCCCACTGGGTTCACCTCCCAGCGCTCGCCATAGCACAGATGCGACAGAGACTAGACGTCAAAAAACAGGAGGCGGTGGCCGACTGAGGGAGAACCACTAAGGAAATAACGCTTTCCTTCCCGCTCGAGGTGATCACCATGAAACCGGTCAACCCTGGGCCCCTCGAGTGTGAGACATCATGACAAAGCCTCGGCGGCAGGGGCCTGAAGCCCGGGCCGCCGTGCTCCCTCCCACAGACACCCAGGGCGGCTGAGTCCTCAACACCACACGTTCAAGGCTGAACCGAGCAACCCAAGATCCTTAACTTAATCACATCTTTTGCCTTATAAGATGATATGCACTGGAGATCTGAACGCGGACATAGCTTTTGGGACCCACCATTCTGGGGGCAACCAAAAGTGTCGGCTAAAGCCATCTGCTTTGTGTGACCTCACAGCCAGGGAAGTGAACCCTGGGTGTTTATTACTTCACGTTGCCTTTCGTGCGTCTTCACCTCGCTACAGCTTTGTTTGCTCCTCTCTCAAATTAGGGCAATGCTACTACCTACGGTTTTTGTGGGGATTCTGTGAGGCGGTGTGGAAGGTGTTTCAACAATATTGCAGCTACCGGTGAAAGAGCAGACCTAGGCCGGCTGACTAGTGACGATGTCCCCGACATGGCCGCAGAAAGAAGTTGCTGCTCAAACCTCAGAACACGCCTCCTCCCCTTAAGTAACTTACCGATTGATGCATTCTTCCGAAGTCTGAGGTGGGAGGAAGGGGAGTGTGAGAGGCGTGGAAAGTGTGAGTAGAAGAGGGAGGGCTTCTGTCAGGTAGGGGCCAGAGGCAGGAGCCCTCAACCCTGTCCAGGCTTAGAATGACCTGGGAGCATTTTACTCCTCCCCAAACCAATTAATCAGAGTCTCTGGGGATGGTGTTTGGTGCTAGGTATTCATATAGCACAGCAAGGCTCACA